CCAATGGTTCAGCAGAAGTTACTCAGGAAAAATTCTGATTTCTAATCCATCTTAATCTAATGTAATCTAATCCATGCCAGACATTGGTGCTTGCTTTGCTGGCTATTTATCGTTACTTTCCTTCTCTACTTTCCAAAACAGTTGCCTACCCTGAAGCTTGTGAATCTCATTAACATTCATATTTAAGCCCAAGACATTCATGTATCTTTCATTGTTAATACTGGTTCCTGGTTGCCCAAATTCATGAATAGAATTGTTTTATTTTTGTCCACAGATTTTCCATTGGTTTAAGAGAGCTCTCAGGGTGTCCTAGTGTGATCTGAGTTCCTTTGGAATTTCTAAGAATTAACTTAACCCTCTGGAGTCCTCCACTTTTCTAAAACTGGTTTACTCTCAAAGAGGATTTTTTGATGATGGATTACCTTTGTGTCAGATTCTTTGTAGCTAACATTGTTTACCCTCACCAGATAGCATTCCAGTGCCAGAATAGCCTCCCAGAGGATACACTCCTGTAGGCGATGTAACAAAAATCAGTGTGTCCTGGACAGCCCAAGCACAGACAATATTTCCTGAGTAACTTTACACATTTGTTTCACAAATGCCAAGGATTTAATTTTGCTTTAACACGTTGTATGTGTACCTATTATGTATATGTTTGGGGTAGAAGTGAAAGTTTGGCATTTTGTAACTAATTTGATGTTGAAAATTGGAATGTATATTTTGAATTTTATGTCTCTTAAGTAACACGTTATATATTAACTGTTAAAATACCATTTCTGTTTTATAGACCACTCTTTGAAGGTGATAATGACTTCTGTGTATGTCTAAAGGAATCTTTTCCTAATTTGAAAACAAGAAAGTTAACAAGAGTAGAATGGGGGAAAATCAGGCGGCTTATGGGAAAACCACGGAGGTAAAAATAATGTTTTTGTTTAAAATAAAATCAATATAAGTTGGTAGGATTGTTACTACATTGATTTTTTTTTTTTTTAGTCTTCAAAAGGACTAGTACCAAGATATAACTTTTCAGAATAATTTATTATATGTTAAATATATCCTATTAATCAACTTTAATGTAAGGGCTTTTTATACTTATGCATCTTATAATTAAATGTGCAATTTCATTTTTGTTTACATCACAGGCTTTGAATATAATTATATATATATATATATCTCCCACTATGTTCCAAAAAATATTTAAGAATGTAAGATGAATTAAAAAGGAAAGAAAGTCCAGATAGAATCACAGATGTCTATAGGAATTTAGTACATGATAACAGTGGTTGTATCTCAAATACATAGGGGAGAGGGGGGTTAAATTATTTATTTAGTGGATATTGAGATCACTATATAGGAATCTAGAGAAGATAGAAATAATAATGACAGAAAGCACCTTAGTGATTGCTTGGGAAGGGAGAGTATAGAAGTGTGAGGATTGCAAAGTATGGCACAGGAAATTTTGGGAGTAATTGATATCTTCATATGTTCATATGTTAACTGTGGTGATGGTTTTATGAATATATATTTTGTGGCATGAAACCTATCTTTAAATATCTTTAGTTCGTTGTAGAATTTGAAAATAAAAGTAAGACAGGCCCTAAAGATGAGAGTAGATTCAGTATTCAAACTTCAAGGCAGGAAGAATGATTAAAAGTTTACACAGTGGCATGCCTCATCTTTAATATCGATATTAGTATGCTCTCTCGGGGACAGGGAAAATGTCAATGTTCTGAATAGAATATTAAAATTGAACTCTGTTCTTAAGAGAAAGCCTGGGATCCAGATGCAGTTTTGTCAACGGACGGTGTCCAAATCCTACTGCTTTATAGGAAGGAATAATCTAGACTTGCTTATATATCTTTGAGTCTTGCAATGCCCTATTTTTAAAAAGATGTAAAAGTAACTTTGAAAGGACACTTACTTCTAAGAACTCGTTTTTAAATACAGTACTTGAAAAAATGAGAGGAAAAAAGGGAATAATGTGATAGATGGTCTGATTTGAAGTTTTTGTGTAGGATAGTTATCAGTTTATATGATTTTTATAATTTATCCTAGATGTTCTTCTGCATTTTTTGAGGAAGAGAGATCAGCATTAAAACAGAAACGGCAGAAAATAAGGCTCTTACAACAAAGGAAAGTTGCGGATCTTACACAATTCAAAGATCTCCCAGATGAAATTCCTTTGCCCCTGGTTATTGGAACCAAAGTTACAGGTAAGTGAAGATAAGCTTATTAATATCTTGATTTGTAATTTTTCACCCAGATAACATCTATTAGAGAAATGGCTTTTAAATTTAGAAAGCTTAAACTATAGTTCTACAGCAATATACTGGTAAAACTGTTCTCACCAACCAC